TTACCAGTTGTTGTCTTAGCTCTCTCTAATAACGCCTGTGATTGCTTTATGCCTCTCTCCCATGTCAATATGCCTTGCCTATTGCTGTTTGGGTTAGTTCTTATTATACAATTTCACTGTAGAACCCCAAGTCCCTCACAAACTGCCTCAAATAGTTCCTTTGTTCCACCCCCCATACACGCCGAGACCAGCTCAATCGGTGCCTCCAGTGATGCTATCTCTTTCATTGTTACCCAACGCTTAGGTTTACCTCAACTCATATCATTTTCTGTACATAATGCCCTGAATCTTTTCTACAACGCCCGGAGAACTGCCCCCTTTATTCTATGTACCCAACGCACTAGAAGACCAGTTCTTAAAGCCTTTAGTCATATCCTTATTCTAGTACTCCTCTGTTCCTCTGGTGATGTAGAGGCTAACACAGGTCCTGCAGCCCCCAGTATCACTCCTACTCCCCAGGAGCTATCATTTGTTGACTTCTGTAACCGTAAAAGCCTTGGTTTTCTGCACGTAAATATCAGAAGCCTCCTTCCTAAGTTTGAGTTATTCACTGCGTTAGCACACTCTGCCAACCCTGATGTTCTAGCAGTGTCTGAATCCTGGCTTAGGAAGGCCACCAAAAATTCTGAAATATCCATCCCCAACTATAACATTTTCCGTCTAGATAGAACTGCCAAAGGGGGTGGAGTTAGCCTGCAGAGCTCTATCATACTATCCAGGTCTGTGCCCAAACAGTTTGAGCTTCTACTTCTAAAAATCCACCTTTCCAGAAATAAATCTCTCACTGTTGCCGCTTGCTACAGACCCCCCTCAGCCCCCAGCTGTGCCCTGGACACCATATGTGAATTGATTGGCCCCCATCTATCCTCAGAGTTCGTACTGCTTGGTGACCTAAATTGGGATATGCTTAACACCCTGGCCATCCTACAATCTAAACTAGATGCCCTCAATCTCACACAAATTATCAACGAACCTACCAGGTACAACCCTAAATCCGTAAACATGGGTACCCTCATAGATATCATCCTGACTAACTTACCCTCTAAATACACCTCCGCTGTCTTCAACCAGGATCTCAGCGATCACTGCCTTATTGCCTGCGTCCGTAACGGGTCCGCGGTCAAACGACCACCCCTCATCACTGTCAAACGCTCCCAAAAACACTTCAGCGAGCAGGCCTTCCTAATTGACCTGGCCCAGGTATCCTGGATGGATATAGATCTCATTCCGTCAGTAGAGGATGCCTGGTTGTTCTTTAAAAGTAATTTCCTCTCAATCTTAAATAAACATGCCCCATTCAAAAAATACAGAACTAAGAACAGATATAGCCCCTGGTTCTCCTCAGACTTGACTGCCCTTGACCAGCACAAAAACATCCTGTGGCGTACTGCATTAGCATCAAATAGCCCCCGCGATATGCAACTTTTCAGGGAAGTTAGGAACCAATATACACAAGCAGTTAGGAAAGCAAAGGCTAACTTTTTCAAACAGAAATTTGCATCCTGTAGCACTAACTCCAAAAAGTTTTGGGACACTGTAAAGTCCATGGAGAATAAGAGCACTTCCTCCCAGCTGCCCACTGCACTGAGGCTAGGAAACACTATCACCACCGATAAATCTACAATAATCGAGAATTTCAACAAGCATTTTGCTACGGCTGAACATGCTTTCCACCTGGCTACCACTACCCCGGCCACCAGCTCTGCACCCTCCGCTGCCACTTGCCCATGCCCCCCCCGCTTCTCCTTCACACAAATCCAGACAGCTGATGTTCTGAAAGAGCTGCAAAATCTGGACCCCTACAAATCATCTGGGCTAGACAATCTGGACCCTTTCTTTCTAAAACTAGCCGCTGAAATTGTCGCAACCCCTATTACTAGCCTGTTCAACCTCTCTTTCGTAACGTCTGAGATCCTCAGAGATTGGAAAGCTGCCGCGGTCATCCCCCTCTTCAAAGGGGGTGACACTCTAGATCCAAACTGTTACAGACCCATATCCATCCTGCCCTGCCTTTCGAAAGTTTTTGAAAGCCAAGTTAACAAACAGATCACCGACTATTTCGAATCCCACCGTACCTTCTCCGCTATGCAATCCGGTTTCCGAGTTGGTCATGGGTGCACTTCAGCCACGCTCAAGGTCCTAAACGATATTATAACCGCGATCGATAATAGACAGTACTGTGCAGCCGTCTTCATCGACCTGGCCAAGGCTTTCGACTCTGTCAACCACCGCATTCTTATTGGCAGACTAAATAGCCTTGGTTTCTCAAATGACTGCCTCGCCTGGTTCACCAACTACTTCTCAGATAGAGTTTAATGTGTCAAATCGGAGGGCCTGCTGTCTGGACCTATGGCAGTCTCTATGGGGGTGCCACAGGGTTCAATTCTTGGGCCGACTCTTTTCTCTGTGTATATCAATGATGTCGCTCTTGCTACTGGTGACTCTCAGATCCACCTCTACGCAGACGACACCATTTTGTATACATCTGGCCCTTCATTGGACACTGTGTTAACAAACCTCCAAACGAGCTTCAATGCCATACAACACTCCTTCAGTAGCCTCCAACTGCTCTTAAACACTAGTAAAACTAAATGCATGCTCTTCAACCGAACGCTGCTTGCACCCGCCCACCCGACTAGAATCACTACTCTCGACGGGTCTGACCTAGAGTATGTGGACAACTACAAATACCTAGGTGTCAGGTTAGACTGTAAACTCTCCTTCCAGACTCACATTAAGAATCTCCAATCCAAAGTTAAATCTAGAATCGGTTTCCTATTTCGCAACAAAGCCTCCTTCACTCATGCTGCCAAACATGCCCTCGTAAAACTGACTATCCTACCGATACTTGACTTCGGCGATGTTATTTACAAAATAGCCTCCAACACTCTACTCAGCAAATTGGATGTAGTCTATCACAGTGCCATCCGTTTTGTCTCCAAAGCCCCATATACTACCCACCACTGTGACCTGTACGCTCTTGTTGGCTGGTCCTCACTACATATTCGTTGCCAAACCCACTGGCTCCAGGCCATCTATAAATCACTGCTAGGCAAATCCCCGCCTTATCTTAGCTCATTGGTCACCATAGCAACACCCACCCGTAGTATGCGCTCCAGCAGGTATATCTCACTGGTCATCCCCAAAGCCAACACCTCCTTTGGCCACCATTCCTTCCAGTTCTCTGCTGCCAATGACTGGAACAAATTGCAAAAATCTCTGAAGCTGGAGACACTTATCTCCCTCACTAACTTTAAGCATCAGTTGTCAGAGCACCTTACCGATCACTGCACCTGTACACAGCCCATCTGAAATTAGCCCGCCCAACTACCTCATCCCTATATTGTTATTTATTTTGCTCATTTGTACCCCAGTATCTCTATTTTGCACATCATCTCTTGCACATCTATCATTCCGTGTGTTAATACTAATTGTAATTATTTTGCACTATAGCCTATTTATTGCCTTACCTCCATAACTTGCTACATTTGCACACACTGTATATATATTTTTCTGTTGTATTTTTGACTTTATGTTTTGTTTTACCCCATATGTAACTCTGGGTTGTTGTTTTTATCGCACTGCTTTGCTTTATCTTGGCCAGGTCGCAGTTGTAAATGAGAACTTGTTCTCAACTGGCTTACCTGGTTAAATAAAGGTGAAAAAAAAAAAAAGGTTAGGGTTTAAGGTAGGGACGTCCGAAGGATTCCAGATAGCACTAACCCTTGTAAAAGAGATATGGATCTGTGTGACTTCGCTGTGTACGTAAAGGTTACATAAATAAAAGATACCCTGAATTACTGTCTGATGACGTAGCAGTCTACTGTACACACCCTCATGATGTAAGGAAGCCAGGTCTAACAAATAGTTTAGGAATCAAGTCATTTTCTTGTTTTACCATTTTGTCAAGACTATGAAATGTCATTGCAGTCTTAAGGTTGTAATTAATTTACTGAAGTGAAACTAATTATAAGGAAAATATCTATTAATATTTATATAAACACACCTTCATCATACATTTAAAGGGTATTACAGGACCACACAGAGACTGTTAGAGGGGGAGAGAGCGGAATAAATGCATTCTGGGTATTTAGGGTTTTTAGATTGCCTTAGAGATTATCACTGATTTCGTATCACATTCATCTAGATAACTTAGCTAGTGAAAAACCCATGGGTGAAATAACATAGTCAAATTTTATATCAGCATTATTAATTCAAATGTAGTCATCAGTAGGTAAATTATGTATCTTATCTGTGATACTAGTTTGTCTGATCAAGCCGTTTCACTTTATTTCTCATACATTAATGTATGCCGTTTAGCAGATGCTGTTTTCCAAAGCAACTTGCAGTCATGCATGCATTTTTCTTAGGGTTACCCCAGCGGGAATCAAACCCATAAACCTGCGCTATGCGCTATGCTCTGCCAACTGAGCCAAACAGGTCCTTATATATTACAGTGCCTATTGCATGGAAGCCTTGAGTAATAGACTCTATAGACTGACGTATTGTGTGATTGACTGTCCTTTTACTCCTTAAGGTCACGGTAACAGCTACAGTCGGTGCTGCGCCCATCACACTCTAATTAGTGCTGTATTAAAGTCAGGTCCCCTGTGCCTGTAAAAGTTTCCAAAAGGTCACCCGTCAGAATCAAGATGCGGTCTCTGGGGGACGTCAACATAAAAAATACTTCAAATTTTTTTCCCACTTTTAAATGTTAAGGCAATTTATAATTGATGCTTCTCTTATCATAGAATCATTTATGGTATGCTTTGTCTAAGAGGATAAAGGTCTTGTCTCGTCCTGTCTCTATGTTCGGGTAGACAATCAACACCGGAGATGTGCAGCTTCTCTCTTAAGGAAAACATTTTAATAATAAGTTAAATATATAGCATGACTGTGATACAGAGTTGGGACCAAAATGTATCATAAAAAATGTAATAATACATGAAATATGTATAATATATGTAAATTAAAGGTACGTTTTTTCTGTTATGTTACAGGAATACCAAATTGACATCATTTTTGCACAGACGTGGATTGACAGCCGTCTGCAATACAACAGCACCATGAAGATCCTGACGCTCAACAGCAACATGGTGGGAATGATCTGGGTCCCTGACACCATCTTCAGAAACTCCAAGAACGCAGACTCTCATTGGATTACGATGCCCAATCAGCTTCTGCGTATTTGGAACGATGGGAAGATATTATACACGCTGAGGTAAAATAAATGGCTTTTCTTTATCTGATATCACAGACATTGTTGTTTTGAACAGCCGATTATCGTTCCGTTTTAGTTCAGAGATTACAGCGTAGCAAACATTGGGTTTTCCTTTTCAAGGAAAGAAAAATAGTCAATATAAATGAAAATAGTGTCATTACTACCTGTCTTTGCACTGAAGATTACATCTAGAATATTCCAACTTCCTCAGAATTCAGGTAGAGTTCAACACAGTGTAAGAAAGTGGCACAAACACAACTGACGTCTCTGCCACATACTGATGCTACACCAATACACAAAAATAAACATCTGTCTACTCTACGATAAGACAAATGTTGTTTTGTCTCTTTTTTCACTGCTCTGCTATGTGGGTTAGCACACTTGGTACATTCACTTTACACTGTAGTATACTGTCTTAGGGAGATCATGCTTTTTAGGGTATAAATGTCATCCTTTCAGTCCTTTTTTGTAACGTTTTCAACCGTGGACTCACCTCCGCTGAGAAAAGAGAGACATCACCCTGCTGTTTGCATCACTGAGTGAGGCATTCCCTTGGCAACAGGCAAAGCACAGGAGAAAGGATAAGAATGTGTGGGCAAGTTAATTATTGCCAGCACTGACCTGGCTGGCTCCACAAGGCGGAATCATACAAGATCCGCCATTATCAGCCATTCTCAGTGAGTTTATCGGTTAGTATTATCTTTGAGCATTATCGTTTAGCATTATGCAGTATATGAGTATTATCACTGAACATTATTATTGAGCATTATCACTGAGCATTATTAGTTAGCATCATATACTGCCCATAATGTCTATACACACCATCATATACATATATAGATATTTATATTCCGGACTCTGACATTGCTCATTCTAATATTTCTATATTTCTTAATTCCTTTCTTTAGAGTTTTTTGATTTGTGTGTATTGTTTTGTATTGTCAGGTATTACTTCACTGTTGGAGCTAGGAACATAAGCATTTCGCTACACCCGTGATAACATCTGCTAAATATGTGTACACAACCAATAAAATGTGGTTCGATTTATTGGTGATGACTATTGTTGAGCATTATAATTGAGCATTATCAGTGAACAATATCAGTTTGCATTATTAATGAGCATTTTCAGTAAGCATTATTCATCAGCATTATCATTGAGCAGATCTAGAAATATTTGTGAGTGGCATCCTGGTCTGATTAAAACAATGGAGTCAATCTAAGCTCCCATCTAAGCTCCCATTAATTCCTCTTCACTGTGAACTTCAGTCAAGCCAACGTAAACAAGAGTGACATTTTATCAGGGAGCGAGAGGAGGAGGAGGAGGAGGAGGAGGAGGAGGAGGAGGAGGAGGGAAGGAAAAGAGGAGACGAATAGGGTGGAATTCGGTCTGATGACCTACATAACTCCGGGACAAGAGCATTTCTTCATCCGTTCATTTTTCTTAACTAGTCTGTCGGAGTTTGTTACTCAAGGAAAATACCAATTTACAGGGCTCACCAGACTCGGAGGTGACCAGCCGGCCGACCGAGAGACCCGCAATCTCTAGCCCCCTGGCACTGGCAGTCATGTCAGGGTAATAGGTGGCCCATTAGGTCTCTCACAGGCATGCAACAAGGTTCCAGTTTGTTAACTCTGCAATCGCTCAGTCTTTTCACGCACACACAAAAAAGGAAACAGCAAAGCAGCGAAATGCAGCATTATTGCTATCTGTCTCATTCTCAGCATGTGCAGTATGTGAGAACAACATCAAGAGCCAGCCTTCCCTTATTTCACACCCTATGCTGTCTTCATCAATAAATGACACATTCACATCACCAGTGGTGTATGTGGTTAGCGCGGCGGTGGTTGTTGTTGTAGCACTGTTCTCTCAGAGCAGAGCTGAACTCTATGTGAGGAACGACGGCAATGCTCACTCACGGCCTCTCTCTGACTCGTGCTGTAGGTTGACCATCAATGCAGAGTGCCAGCTGCAGCTCCACAACTTCCCTATGGATGAGCACTCCTGTCCCTTGGTCTTCTCTAGCTGTGAGTATTGTACAGCCAGGCAATAATGTCACCCATTCATATGTCCTATATTTTGTATAAACATATAAAAAATATCTGGGGAAATCATATATTCCATATGCATTTATGAACAATATATTGGGAAAAGTAGTATATTTCATAAATGAAAATACATCAGGAAACGTCATATTTCATATAGATATATGAAAAATACATCAGAAGAAGTAATATATTTAATAGATGTACTAATTGACGCCTCCACATACCATTTAAGAAAATCATCAAGGATAACACAAAGCTTATTTCCATTGTGATCCTTTTGGAGGGGGAATGGGGGGGGGGGTTCAGCAAGGTAAGGCAGCAATGGCAGTGCCAACAAACAATGACAGACACAATTGTTGTTTGTTTCATAAAATGAGCTAATTAGATCAGTTCCATTTCCTAATAAATAACTCTGGACAGGTACAGTGCCTTCGGAAAGTATTCAGACCCCTTAACTTTTTCCACATTTTGGTAGGTTACAGCCTTATTCTAAAATTGATTAAATTGTTTTTTTCCCCTCATCAATCTACACACAATACCCCATAATGACAAAGCAAAATCAGGGTTTTAGAATTTTAGCAAATTTATAAAAAATGAATAACAGAAATATCACATTTACATAAGTATTCAGACCCTTTACTCAGTACTTTGTTGAAGCACCTTTGGCAGCAATTACAGCATCGAGTCTTCTTGGGTATGACGCTACAAGCTTGGCACACCTGTATTTGGGGAGTTTCTCCCATTCTTCTCTGCATATCCTCTCAAGCTCTGTCAGGTTGGATGGGGAGCGTCGCTGCACAGCTATTTTCAGGTCTCTCCAGAGATGTTAGCTCGGTTCCAAGTTTGGGCCCTGGCTGGGCCACTCAAGGACATTCAGAGACTTGTCCCAAAGACACTCCTGCATAGTCTTGGCTGTGTGCTTAGGGTCGTTGTCCTGTTGGAAGGTGAACCTTTGCCCCAGTCTGAGATCCTGAGCACTCTGGAGCAGGTTTTCATCAAGGATCTCGCTGTACTTTGCTCTGTTCATCTTTGCCTCGATCCTGACTAGTCTCCCAGGCCCTGCCGCTGATAAACACCCCCACAGCATGATGCTGCCACCACCATGCTTCACCATAGGGATGGTGCCAGGTTTCCTCCAGACGTGATGCTTGCCATTCAGGCCAAAGAGTTAAATCTTGGTTTCATCAGACCAGACAATCTTGTTTCTAATGGTCTGATGGTCTGAGAGTCTTTAGGTGCCTTTTGGCAAACTCCAAGCGGGCTGTCATGTGCCTGTCACTGAGGAGTGGCTTCCGTCTGGCCACTCTAACATGAAGGCCTGATTGGTGGAGTGCTGCAGAGACGGTTGTTCTTCTGGAAGGTTCTCCCATCTCCACATAGGAACTCTAGAGCTCTGTCAGAGTGACCAATGGGTTCTTGGTCACCTCCCTGACCAAGGCCCTTCTCCCCCGATTGCTCAATTTGGCCAGGCGGCCAGCTCTAGGAAGAGTCTTGGTGGTTCCAAACGTTTTCCATTTAAGAATGATGGAGGCCACTGTGTTCTTGGGGACCTTCAATGCTGCAGACATTTTTTGGTACCCTTCCCCAGATCTGTGCCTCAACACAATCCTGTCTCGGAGCTCTACGGACAATTCCTTCGACCTCATAGCTTGGGTTTTGCTCTGACATGCACTGTCAACTGTGGGACCTTATATAGACAGGTGTGTGCCTTTCCAAATCATGTCCAATCAATTGAGTTTACCACAGGTGGACTCCAATTAAGTTGTAGAAACATCTCAAGGATGATCAATGGAAACAGGATCCACTTGAGCTCAATTTCAAGTCTCATAGCAAAGGGTCTGAATACTTATGTAAATAAGGTATTTCCGTTTTGTTTATTTTATAAATTTGCTAAAATTTGTTTTTGCTTTGTCATTATGGGTTATTGTGTGTAGATTGCTGAGGATTTTTATTTATTTAATCCATTTTAGAATAAGGCTTGTAACGTAACAAAATGTGGAAAAAGTCAAGGGGTCTGAATACTTTCCGAAGGCACTGTACATCTCCCTTGACTCACATACCCCTAATATATACAACAGTCAATGTCTTATATATACACAAGACAATCACAGTATGATACACAATAGACACCAAAAGCCAGACCAAATGCTATCCCAGGCATTTTCTTCTGACCCACGTATTGTAGTCTTACAACTCACTTTTGTATAAATTATAGAGGTACCTGCAATGAACGCCATCGGTCACTACAGGTCCAATGTACTAGATCCAAATTATACCGTTTGTATTCTATCACAGTATGAGGTCGATGCATATACAACTGTTTTGAGTAGGAGGCTTGATGGGCAGATACTCTGAATGGTATATACAGTGAGGGAACGTTTGCCCACTGACAAAGACATGATCAGTCTATAATTTTAATGGTAGGTTTATTTGAACAGTGAGTGACAGAATAACAACAAAAAAATGCAGAAAAACGCATGTCAAAATTTTTATAAATTGATTTGCATTTTAATGAGGGAAATAAGTATTTGACCCCTCTGCAAAACATGACTTAGTACATGGTGGCAAAACCCTTGTTGGCAATCACAGAGGTCAGATGTTTCTTGTAGTTGGCCACCAGGTTTGCACACATCTCAGGAGGGATTTTGTCCCACTCCTCTTTGCAGATCTTCTCCAAGTCATTAAGGTTTCGATGCTGACGTTTGGCAACTCGAACCTTCAGCTCCCTCCACAGATTTTCTATGGGATTAAGGTCTGGAGACTGGCTAGGCCACTCCAGGACCTTAATGTGCTGCTTTTTGAGCCACTCCTTTTTTGCCTTGGCCGTGTGTTTTGAGTCATTGTCATGCTTGAATACCCATCCACGACCCATTTTCAATGCCCTGGCTGAGGGAAAGAGGTTCTCACCCAAGATTTGACGGTACATGGCCCCGTCCATCGTCCCTTTGATGCGGTGAAGTTGTCCTGTCCCCTTAGCAGAAAAACACCCCCAAAGCATAATGTTTCCACCTCCATGTTTGACGGTGGGATGGTGTTCTTGGGGTCATAGGCAGCATTCCTCCTCCTCCAAACACGGCGAGTTGAGTTGATGCCAAAGAGCTCCATTTTGGTCTCATCTGACCACAGCACTTTCACCCAGTTCTCCCCTGAATTATTCAGATGTTCATTGGCAAACTTCAGACGGGCCTGTAAATGTGCTTTCTTGAGCAGGGGGACCTTGCGGGCGCTGCAGGATTTCAGTCCTTCACGGCGTAGTGTGTTACCAATTGTTTTCTTGGTGACTATGGTCCCAGCTGCCTTGAGATCATTGACAAGATCATCCCGTGTAGTTCTGGGATGATTCCTCACCGTTCTCATGATCATTGCAACTCCACGAGGTGAGATCTTGCATGGAGCCCCAGGCCGAGGGAGATTGACAGTTATTTTGTGTTTCTTCCATTTGCGAATAATCACACCAACTGTTGTCACCTTCTCACCAAGCTGCTTGGCGATGGTCTTGTAGCCCATTCCAGCCTTGTGTAGGTCTACAATATTGTCCCTGACATCCTTGGAGAGCTCTTTGGTCTTGGCCATGGTGGAGAGTTTGGAATCTGATCGATTGATTGCTTCTGTGGACAGGTGTCTTTTATACAGGTAACAAGCTGAGATTAGGAGCACTCCCTTTAAGAATGTGCTCCTAATCTCAGCTCGCTACCTGTATAAAAGACACCTGGGAGCCAGAAATCTTTCTGATTGAGAGGGGGTCAAATACTTATTTACCTCATTAAAATGAAAATCAATTTATAACATTTTTGACATGCATTTTTCTGGATTTTGTTGTTGTTATTCTGTCTCTCACTGTTCAAATAAACCTACCATTAAAATTATAGACTGATCATTTCTTTGTCAGTGGGCAAACGTACAAAATCAGCAGGGGATCAAATACTTTTTTCCCTCACTGTAGGTTTGTAGCCTGAAAGAGAATGATTGTCTACAGCTTTTCATGAGAATGTGTGAGTCACCAATGGGAAAGCTAGATGCAAAGCTACTCTGTACCTCTCTACCTTTCTTTAAAGCCACATTCAATAGGACCAGGCTTTCTGGGCAGTGCATTAACTACACAACAACAGTATATCACCTGCAATAAAATGGGACAAAATTCAGCTCAGGCAGAATGGTAAGTGAATATAGAGCATTATTAATAAGTGGAGTAGTACATTGAAATTATACCCTTAGTAAGGATTGGTGGGAACAGGATGTGAAAGCCATGCGCGCTGAAGCTAATGGATTTCCAGCTGTTTCCCAGATAAAGACCTTGATCTTACTTCTATTCAGTCTACAATAAATCCCCCCCCCCCCCACAGTGTACGTATTCCGCCTCCATTTCCCCCACCCTTCCAAGGCACCACCATTGCTTCTCCATCCACAGCCTATGTACATCCCTACAGTAAGTAATCCTCAATTGTCACCTTCAGATAGAAAATAGTCCTATCATATTATCATGTCTTTGAATGTCGTTGTTTTTGTAAATAAACGTCTTGGTCTGATTGCCCAGACACAGAGTAAGCGTAGTCCTCGTTTAAAAAGCATGCTTAATAGAGAATAGGCTTACTCTCTGTCCTTGAAACAGGGGTCTGAAGAGTTAACTTAAGTAAAACGGGAAAACTCGATCCATTCCTCCACACCACCCACCCACTGGCGTGACAGAGCCGACAGACAGATTCTCGCTGTTTGATATTTTCACTTACCCCAGGGAAAAAACATTGGACATGTGGCGTGCTGCGTTCCCATGGCGATAATGGCAGCAGGTAGCCTAGCGGTTAGAGCGTTGGGCCAGTAATAAAAAAATTGCTGGTTTGAATACCTGAGCCGACAAAGTGAAAGATCTGCCGATGTGTCCTTGAGCAAGGCACTTCATTTGCTCCAGGGGCGCCGTACTGCTATGGCTGACCCTGTAAAACAACACATTTCACTCACAGGAGGTTGGTGGCACCTTAATTGGGGAGGACAGTTTTGTGGTAATGTC